ATGTCAATGATTTGTCTAGAAATGTTACTTTAGCATTGGGAACACAGGAAAATATAGATAGAAAATCAGAACAAAAGGTAGATGCTCTGTATAAGACAGTGGAATACCTGGGTGATGAAGTCCAGGGTCTAAAAATTAGATCTCAACTAGAATGTCATGTGGAGTATCATTGGATCTGTGTCACATCTAGAAGATATAATGAGACTAGTCATGACTGGGATCGAGTAAAATATCATTTAAAAGGCATATGGCACAATGTTAATGTATCCTTAGATTTAATTAACCTGCATAAAGAAATACAAGGACTTAACAATGCTAAAGCTCTGCAATTTGATGCTGAGAAATTGGCCACTGAATTTTTGGGTCACCTTAAGGGCCTCGTCCCCTCATGGTCTTCCTTCTATCAGCAGCTGCTTCTGTCTTGACTGTAGGGGCCTGTGTAACTGTTGTCTTGTGCCTGCTCCCTTCTCTACTGAAATACTTCATTAGTGCTATGGTAAAACTTCAGGCCGACCTACATCATGTAAGGCTTCGATATATGGCTTAAAAGATAGACATCTCCCTCCCGCGGGGGCTGGTAGTCAAAGACGGGTAAGACTCCCTCAGAGACTGGACAACCTAAGACAGGGCGTGCATGACGGAACGCACGTACCGATGACGGGTAAGTTCCAGATCTGGTGAGGGGATCACCTAAGACAGGCACAGTCACCTTGCGCCAGAACCAGGAGGGTTCGGGCATTTAAACAATAAAAAAGGGGGAGATGTGGGGAGTCACTTATGGACATGTGAAAACGTATAACAAGGAACAAAGATATTTGTGTACTTGGCAACAATGTAAGAAGTTGAGATTGTAAAGCGCTGGGAAAAACCGGGAGGTAACTGTTCACATAGCAGTCACTGCACATTCCTTGCAACAGTTTAGCAGAGAGTTCTGAGTTGTGAGACTCTCATTGTTCTACTAGATATAGTAATCTGGCTAACCTTGATTCTTGACTACTGTCTTTCTTATTGTAATGTTATAAATAGTGTGTTCTAAATAAACTCGGGGACACAGACACAGACACAGACACAGCTTGATTCTGTGATCCCTCCTGCAATTCTGTCTGTCTTCTTTCTTTTCCTCAGTCCATGCTCCCCCTTTCAGGTACCCTCAATTACTTCGTCGGCTGGCTTCCGACAGTAATTCTCTCACATCTTCTAGCTTACCACTTAGTTTTCAGGTTTTTATTTTATTAAATATTTCAAGCATACAGAAAATATGGAGAATAATAAAATTCTCATTTACTCGCCACCCCGCTATATCATCAATCTTACTATTTTATATTTGCCTCAACATAAAAAAATACCTTACAGATGCAACTGAAGCCTCCTTACTAATCCTCCCTATAAGCATCTTCCTTTCCCTAAGCTAACCACAATCCTGAATTTGATGTTTATCTTTCCCATGCATGCTTGTGCACTTTTATGATATACTATATCCATAAATATGTAGTATTATTTAATATAAATAAAATACTACATATATATTCTATAACTTTTAGCCAGTATTTTTAAGTTATTCACATGACTGACATAACTCATTCATACATTAGAACAGTTTTAAGTATTCCAGTATAGACTATGCCTATGCTCCAATAGTTATCTACGCTCTCAATTAGCATTTAGTGTGTTGATTTTTTAATTTTTGTTCTTTTAATGGATTTTATCATTTTGAGCAGTTTAAAAAAAACTTATTTATTTTAATTAGTTTCAAGTATACAGTACATTGGTTAGACATCTATATAGTTCATAAAATGATTCCAATTGCTCCTTTCCTCCTGACCCTCCACCTAGCAACATATTAATACTAACTGCTTTCCCTATGCCATGCTCCCCATCCCCACCCCATTCTCCCAGCTCCCCAAGCCCCCCTCCCCTCTGTCCATCATCAAATTGTTCACTATATTTGTGAGTCTGTTTTTGATTAGTTTGTTCTTTTTATTCCTTAGGTTCCGCATACTAGTGAAATCACATAGTGTGCTTATCTTTCTCTGTCTGACTTAAGTACCTTCTAGGTCTATCAAAGCAATATCTTTTGCCATCCCCTTCCTTTTAGTCTATGAGTGTCTTTTAATCTGAACTGAGTCTCTTGTAGGCAGCATAAGTAGGGGTCTTGTTTTCTTATCCATTCAGCCACTCTATCTTTTAGTTGGAGCACTTAATTCTTTTCCTTTTAGCTTATTTTTGTCTGGGGAGCTCCTTATCTGTCCTTCAACTCTAAATGATAGCTTTGGTGGATAAAGTATTCTTGGTTGTAGATCCTGGATCTTCATCACATCAAATATTTTGGACCAAGCCCTTCCGTACTGCATCATTTCTTTTGAGAAATCAGCTGCCAGTCTTATAAGTGTTCCCTTGTAGGTAACTATCTGCTTTTCTCTTGCTGCTTTTAAGATTCTTTCTTTGTATTTAACACTTGGCATTTTAATTATGATTTAAATTACGTGTTTGGTGTGGGCCTCTTTGGATCCCTGGTTTTGGGGGTTCTCTGAGCTTCCTGGGGTTGTGTATCTATTTGCTTCACCAGGTTAGGGAAGTTTTTCATCATTATTTCTTCAAATACCTCTTCAATTTCTTGTTTTCCTTCAGGTACGCTGATGAGACGGATATTTTGACCTTTAATAGTGTCTCATATGCTCCTTAAATTATTTTTATAGTCTTGGCATCTTTTTGCTTGTCATTCTGATTGAGTGTCCTTGGCTTTCCCATCCTCTATATAGGTCATTTGATCCTCTTCTTTATTCACTTTGTTTTTTCCATTTGATATACTTCTCATCTCAGATGTGTTCTTCATTTCTGACTGGTTCCCTTTTATAATTTCCAGTTCCATTTTTTATGTTTTTTATCTCTTTGTTGAAGTTCTCACTGAATTCATCTACTCTTCCCATAAGTTCATTGAGCATCTTTATAGCCAGTGTTTTGAACTCTGCATCTGTTAAATTACTTGACTCCATTATATCTGGATGTTTGTTCTGTTCTCTCATATGATTGCTGCTTCTTTGTCTTCCCATTTTGGCTGCCTTTCTGTGTCTGTTTCTATGTACTAAGCAAAGCTTCTAAGTCTCCTGGTCTTATTAAGATGGCTTTGTGTATTAAAATAATGAGATACCACTACACACCTATTAGAATAGTCCAGTGGCCCAGTTCTGAAAGGGGTTCAGCTGCAGGCCAAATTTAGCCCAAGCCTGTGCCCCTCCGGGGCCACCTGTTAAGATTGAGCAAGCAATCCACAGATGCTGTGCTTATAGTTGCCTCAAAAGGCCACACCAGAAACAGACGCCAGCTGGCTACAGTGTGAGTCTAGGCACTACTCAGCAAGGAGCACTTGACTCACTGGATGTGGCTTGGGTGGGGCTGCGAGTTGGGGGGCGGGGCATGGAATTTCAGGGAGTCCTCTGGGTAGAGCAACCTTTGTTATCCAGTTTGATGATGTCCTGACTATGGCAGCACTGTGTCCATGCACTAGTAGGGGGACAGGCTCAACAAGGAGCAATGGATACTGCCAGCACTTCTGGACAAAGTGCATCTCGCCTTGGCCCTCACTCTGACAATGTCTCCCTGTAAGTCCCTGGTGTCTCCTGTGTGCAACCAAATTGGCACTGGTGCTCAGAGTGAGCAGGTCCGTCACCGCGAAAATCCGCTGGCGGACGCGGCCCCTTTAAGAGGCGTCTGCTGCTGCCACTGCCGCAGCCTTCGTCTCACTCAGCCGCTTGAGACCGGGCAGCTTCGCGTCCTTGCTCTGTCCTACCTTCTGCCATTGCAGGGTGATTTCTTGGATTTCTCCCTAGTTGTATGGCTTGTTCATCTAGACCCTAGGCAATTTTTCCTTGTTGTTTGCTCCTTGTTTCCATCACAACTTTAATTTGGTCGCCAGAAGGATGAACAGAGGCTCTATCATCTATGCCATTTTTTCCCCTCCATTTTGAGCAGTTTTAAGCCACAGTAAAACTGAGCAGGAAGTACAGAGTTTCCATGCCTTCACACAAGCACACCTCCCCACCAGCAACAGCACCAAAGTGGAACATCTGTTACAACTGATGAACCTGCACGGACACATTGTTAGCTTCCAAAGCCCAGTTTACGTTAGGGTTCACTCAGGTGCTGTACATTTCATGAGTTTTGGCAAATGTATAAGGACATGTATCCACCATTATAGTATCAAACCATAGTATCACTGCCCTAAAAATCTCCTGTGCTCCCCTTATTCATCCCTCTCTCCCCCTCAACCCCCAATCTTTTTAGTATCTCCAGTTTTGCCTTTTCCAAAATGACAAAAATTGTTGGAATCGTACAGTACGTAGCTTTTTCAGATTGGCTTCTTTCACTTAGTTATATGAATGTAATGTTCCTCCATGTCTTTCTATAGACGGCTCATTTCTTTTTAGTGCTGAATAATATTCCACTGTCTGGATGTGCACAGTTCATCCATTTACACACTGAAGATCAACTTGGTTGCTTCCAAGTTTTGGCAATTATGAATAAAGCTGCTATAAACATCCATGTGATGGTATTTGCATGGACATACGTTTTCAACTCTTCTGGGTAAATACCAAGAAACATGATTGCTAGATCATATGGTAAGAGCATTTTTTAGTCTTCTAAGAAATTGTCGAACTGTTTTCCTACTTTTCATTCCCACCAGCAATGAATGAGTTACCTGTGGCTCCACGTGCTCACCATCAGTGTTTTGGATTTGGGCTATTCTAATAGGTGTGTAGTGGTATCTCATTATTTTAATTAGAATAGCCCAAATGATGTTGAGCATCTTTTCATGTATTTACCTGCACTCCATATATCTTCTTTGATAAGGTCTGTTCAGGTCTTTTGTCCATTTCTCAATTGGGCTGTTCTTGTTCTTACTGTGGAGTTTTAAGAGCTCTTCATATATTTTGAATAGTAGTCTTTTACAAAATACTTTTTTTGCAAATATTTTCTCCCAGCTGGTGCTTGTCTTCTCATTCTCTTGATGTCTTCAATTTTCACAATCACAGAAATGCTACAGCAAACATTCTTATATGGTTCTGCCTGTTTACATAAAGAGTTTCTCTAAGGCAGGCATCTACAAGTGGAATTTCTGGGATGAGGGTATATTTATCTTCAACTTTACCAGGCATTGCAAAATTGTTTTCAAATGGTTTTCAAACACCTGCACCAAGTTATAATTACCAGCAGTGAAGGATATTCCTATTGCTCCACATCCTCACCAATATTTAGAATTGACTAATTTTTTTAACTTGTGCCAATCTCATGTGTGAAATGGTAGCTCACTGTTTTAATCTGCATTTCTGACTACACTAGATGCTAATAATTTATATACATAAATCTTTTCACTTATGGCTTCTGCTTTCCTTTCTTGTCTAGAACATTTTCTCCTTAAAGTCATAAAGATATTCTACACTTATTTTAAAAAATTTCCAAGATTATGATTTTTAATCTATACATTTTTGGTATTTTATGCAAAAATAAAAATTCTATGGATAGAATAATCAATTTTCTCACTCCACTTATTAACTAACCCATTCTTCCCTTAATAATTTGTAACAATACACCTGTGGCATGGTATCAGTTTTTCACATGCATGATTTGGTTTCAACACAGAATAATCTCTCTCTATTGGGTAGGATGTCTTTTATGTCATATCCTTGGCAGATTTATTCCCAGGTACCTTACTTTTTGTTGTTTTTGTGAATGGGACTTTTTTATTAAAGTTTTTTGTTATGTTTTTAATTGACCATTACAGTTAAATTTGCATGTTGCTCTTGCACTCAACAACTTTGCCGAATTCTTATTCTCTTATTTAATAGATTGTTCTCAGGCACATTTTTATTCAGCTGTGTCTAATCTTCTGTTTATCTTTTAGTTCATTTGAATGACTATTTCTCATTAACACAGCCAATTCTTGCATTTCGATTATTTTCAACAAACATTATTTGGTCTTTTTCAGACTACTCTATGATTTCTAGTTGTTGGGATACCCTTTCTCCTATTTGTTATACCACCTTACTTTCCCTTATGACAATCTGTTTCTTATAGTAAAAATCTCCTCTGCTCTGCCAATTACTTCTACCCTTCCATCCACTCTCATCAGTCTTGTGTAACGAAGTTACACTATTTATGTCCACTAGAACCACAGTTCCAATGGTTTCTAAATTTAGAGAAGTAAATCTGCACATACTAAAAATTTCCATGTGGACCCTCATAGATAGGAAGGAGTTAAAGCAAATCCCCTCTTTAAGAAGATTGTTTAGTAGACTGTGTAGTTCAAGTCCTGGGATACAAGTAAAGCAACAACTCACACTGCATGGCTAACAGCACTAAAAATGTTCATTTTCATAGTTGACAGGAAAAAAAAAAAAAGGAGAACTTGATCCACTGTCCTGAAACCAGCTATAAAAGAGAATAATGAAAAGTTTTCTTACCATTGGCAAAACTCTCTCCAACATAGTACTGCAATTCTTTTACATTAGTTTTCGTCTCATGTATAACAGGATCAAAATAATCTTCAGTTGCTGTAACGTTCAGAAACTCACTTTGTCGAGGGCTACATGTCAGCTCACAAAACATGTTCAGTAGGTTATAAAAACAGGAAGGACATCTAAACAAAAAGTAAACTATATTTTTTATGCTCTCACAGACAACAGGGCCAGCAAAAAGATGATATAAAGTAGACAAAGAATATTTAAAATTTATGGTAAAGTGACAAATGAATTGCCATGAGAACATATTAAACCCAGCAATTCTAAATCTAAAACAAGACGCCTCTTTAAAATCTTCCCTAATTACTACATTAATGCTGTTCGAATATAACTTCAAAAAGAGAAAAATGGTTTTTTGAATTCTGTACTTTAAAATTTAGAGAGATGTTCTTTGTCTTGAAGCTAATGGGACTCAGAAGCATCATGGTGACAACTCTGATTAAGAAGAAAAGGGGAAAAATGAGATTTACACAACAAAATTGTTCATCTTATAACCCACTAAGGGGCTCTCTTCCAAGCCCCAGATACCATGTAGGCCCTCTCTAAACACAAGAGTATTTCCTGTGACTTGAAAAGATAGGAACAGCAGTGGTGGACTCTGGCAGCATGTGTTTCAGCAGCACATGGAGAAGATCTACTACGCAGGAGAACCACAGCGGTCTGCTGTCCTTCAGGTTCAAAGTTTAAGTTCCTAATGTTGACTAGTTATGTGGCAAAAAACTCTCTCCCCGCTTTGG